CGTCGAGGAGCATTGTTCGGAAAAACTTCCAATTTGTCTCGACCTCGCCCGGCGCCAGCGTTTGCGATTTTCTGGCAGCACCTCCGTCGCGGTCATCACAGTGTTTTATTAACGCGCCGCCGTCTCGTTTGGCTCGGCAATGGTCTCGTCCCGGCGTGGGCGGAGGAGGCGGAAAATTCGAGATTCTCGCACTATACCCACCCTTAATGTGCTTCCCGAAAATATCGATAATTTCAACAAAAAATATCGTCGAGGTCGGACCCCGACGCCTTCCCGGCGATCTTATATAATATTATATAGGTACTGTTTCGTATTTACCGTCACGCACCGACTTGCTGCAGGCGTCGATCGACTACAACTCGTATGCCGGGCTTTTGTTCACCCGACAAGCCACCAGCGATTGGCCAATCACTCTAGGCTTTCCGGCCGAAGTCCAAAAATCTCTATTTTTATAGCAGTTGAGATATTGTACTTTTACTAACTACAGTTTGATATAATTTTTTTTTAACTAGCACAAATCATCATAATTTACAAAATACAAAAAAACTATGGCTTATGAGGTATAGCTAGTCGTAGCTAACATTATCATCTAACACTTTTAAGCCAAAAGCTTGAAGGTAAAGAGTAATACATTAAAAATAAATTAAAGGTAATAAACATTTAAAAAAATATATTAAAAATGCAATTTGAGGAATGTAAAATGCCCACCAATTTAGATACAGTGATGGCACCTAAAACGATAAGCCTGGAAAACAATCAAAATATTTCAATATTTATATATAATAACGTAGTTTACAATCTAATTGGTAGAGAAAAAAAACACAAGTTTAAGTAATATACAATAATTACTATAGTCGCTTTCGCGAAAAGTGACGAGTGACTGCAGCGCTTCCAGTGGTTGATTCTCCCATAAGCAGTGGTTCTCATTATTTAGTTAACTATTACTACGGAGTGGATTTATTTCTAACTAGTTTCTAATATAATATTGAAAAAACTATGAATTACTTGCAGTTTTATTTTATTTTAGTTCTACAACAAATATGATAATAAAGATATTTATACAAATCTCTTCTATTCAGAAAAAGGCCCGCGTAATATGTTAATTGTTTTTAATAACCCCTTACAAATTTTAACCACTTGGAGCACTGCAGTCACCCGTCGTTTTTCTTGAAAGCCACTACAATAAGCCATAAGAACCATAGACCTATAAAGATATGGACTGCGCGTCGACCACATAATTGTGTATGCGTCCTCATTATTGTTAGATATAGTAGATATTATGCTCTTATATAATAAGATCATATTTTACGATTTATATGGAAGAAAAATTGAAGTCATGAAAAATGTAATGCGATTTGAGTAAACATTTTATGTTTATAATATAATATTCAGTATACTACTATTTTGTGATTATAAACGAATAGCAATTCACAAATATCAAAATACGATGATCTAAATTAAGAAATATCAAATAATAAATAAAATGATGTGTACAGTAGGTATAATATCGTATTCAGTGTGTTATTGTGGTTAATAGGTCTACGATCCGTACAGGCCATGCAGTAGAAGTTTATTTTAGACCTTTTATACAAATAGAAGGATCAAGGAGCTATATAGTTCCCTCGGTGAGCATGGGTAACGCTGATCATCGTGGTGACCCGTACTTCTGCGCATGTGCGTAAGCCACACCAGTTTGTTCACAGTTAAAAACAAAAACAACATAAATACGTTATTATCGTATGGTTAGTAATAAAATATATTCCTTGCAAGTTTTAAACTATTTTAACGAGTTATGAATAAACTTGATTTAAGAGGACGTTACACCTGTCTCCGCCTTAAAATTAATGTAAAACCTAGCAAAACCGTTTCACGTGGTCAAGAACCACTCGGGCTGTAGTCCAAGTTTAGCAACCAAATTTTCCCACCAGAAAGAGAACATTGACTGTGGAACGTTTTTTTTAAATTTTCCACGTCACAATATGAAAAAAGTTCTTATTGCTTAAAAATTCGTAATTTTGAGTTATTTCAACTCGAAATAATTTTTGTTTGGTTCTGATATCAGACAAATGAAAAAGACATGACGGTGAAAGTTATGCTCTTTATAGTGTGAAATTTAGTTGCTTAGCATGAGCTTAGCCCGGGTTTTTCTTGCCTACTCAAAACAGATTTGCTTCGTCTTACATTAATTTATTTGTAGACGGAGACTACACGTGCGGGTGTAGTGTCCCTTAAGTATAGTAGGAACTCGTCTGGATTTTAATTTCAACGTTTTCCTCACCACTCCACCCCGCCCGCCTGGAGTACTCCGACTGCGTTAGTATAAGGTCTATGTTGTAGATCCATATAATAATAAAAAGTAATATATTAATAATAATCAATATTATGTTATACTGTTATTGGAACCGCTTCGTGCTTTCGCCACGACGCGAGTACACAATAAATTGATCCAATTAAAACTCGTAATACGCCCAACATTTTGGAAATATGTCTACACTGGTATAATAATTATTAATTTTGAATTACATATTATGATAAGCAAGTACGGTTTTTTCAGGGAAACTGTGGTCTGCATATGTTTCTTCTACGTAAAACCCACATCAACAATTCGCTATTGCACACGTCGTTGAAACGATATCCGATGTGTGTATATTTACCTGTTTACTATAACGAGGCTTATATAATAATAATTATTATTATTATTTTCGAAATTCTGTGAAATCGGGTATTTTACAAAAGCCACAGACAATATAAACATTAGATTTTTTTGAACTCAAGTGATTTTTTGGACATTTTTATTCCTAATTTATTAGGTATAGAATATTATAGCTTATTATCATATTATTTTTATAGTATATTATTTCCTGAAAGATAACCGCCAAGTTTGCTCCCCTGTTATAGTCAATCATCATTCTGTAACTAATCGTTAAGTCCCCAACTAACGAATTATAATTATTTCTTGGAGTTTAATGGTATCATTCTAATATACCAATGCATTTTCTAATTATACGATGTTTTTTGTAACACGGCGATTTCGATAGGCAATTCAGCTACACCGTTACACACACTGACTATTAATTTTCGATAATATGTCATAATAATACTATTCGTCATGTTTAAACTTGGTGACAAAAAATATATTATTCATAATTTATAATAATATTCATCTGTGTGGTAAGTGACTATTTAGAATATTGTAAATTTATATTTATAGCCCACGTTATAGTTTACAAGACGTGTTTCAGATATTCTGATAAATATTTTTTCTAAACGTTAACTTTCTTTATTTTTTTTAATTAAGCTTTCATTAATTTATACAAATGATATAATTAACGGCAATATTACTTTGTAAGTTGATAGAATTTTACTCCAAACAGTCGTAATATACTAGCTGTTCCAGTTCATACAAATGAGAACATTTGGTAATAATTAACACATATGAAATGAGACCGTAACGTGTTCCATTCCTAAAAATAATATCCAATTAAATCAAGATATTTCAAACGTACAGTCCATTTACGAACAATGAAACGTCATAATATGAAAATGTCTATTATTTAGTCTTAGAATTGCTGCCTCGGGGAGCGGGACTAAAAACCACTAAAATATTGGTCTTCTTATATTCGTATTATGTCATGTCATTTCTTCATTGAATCTAAAGTAAGTACACATTATAAGATAACAACTATAGTTACAACCTAGGTACCTAAATACATAAAATATTTTACTATCGAACTATTGTATTTATGGTTTTTTTTTTATTATCATGATGATTGTTTCAAAATTTTCATTTATTTTCATCATTTATATAAAAAAAATATTTTTTTTTCTGTATTGTACCTAGCTATTACATATTATTATTATTATTATTGTTTTATTTTTAACGTTATCGACTCTGAAAACATTGCGGATAGTCAGATAGAGTTGTTTAAATTGAAATGGTGAATATAATATAAATACTTAACAAATAACAGGAAGTTGAAAAAGTTGGGCTAATCATGTTCTACAAAAGCCAAAAGAAGTTTTTACTTCTGTCTCTCTATTCTTATAGTTGTTGACGTCAATATAAAAATATAACATAAAGCAAAAACTTTTAAATCAATTTTTTTTCTTTCTAAATTAACTTTATTAAATTGAAAATAAAATCACAATAATACGTACGTACGGTACTAACATTAATAAAAAGTGCACATTACTGGGTTATTTATGTACACTGTGGGCCAGTTTTCTGTTCGTGCTGTTTGTTAAAATACAATACAAAATCGTAATAGTATAATATAATATTATTTTATTCCAAAGTCTGTGCATGTATGGCATAATAGTATTATTATATGATACGAGTGTCCGTATACGAACGCACCTGAGATGTTTGAAGATCCAAACTTAAAATATTATAATATCATTGACGGAGCAAACGGCATAAATAATATAAGAATGGATAGGACATAATGCCTATACCAGTTTCATATGGGGCAGTGTGCTTTTTTTAGGTCAGAGAGAAAAAGAGAGAAAGACGATATGGGGCTTATTTAAGGTTATGTCCAAAAAACTGTTTACAATATTTGTCAATTTCAAATTTGTATTTTGATTGTTGTGCCTGAAAATGGAAATTGAAATACTCAAATTTTGGGTACATGATTAATTGTAATTACTAATTAGCGTATAGGATAATAATATAGGTCGTTAATTATTATTACTAATTAATCATTAATGTTATTTATTATCATTTATCATATCAATATTTGTCCCGTATAACATTATTTAACGTATCACTAAATTTTCGATAAGTTCTTATGTCCTATCGATTCTTATATTATCTATGCGTATTGGGCGCCATTCGGTATGAAGCATCTTTATCATCACAGTACATTTATTACTTTAGGTATGACATAAATATATTAATATTATTATTATTCTTTCGGGTGCACACGCGACAATAAGGATCGTGATTTTTTTTGTTTTTATCACCGCTCGTCAGCGGTGGCGAAACTTCCGTCGGTCCGTCAAGGGTTTCGTAGGACGCAGTCGTGGATTTTCACGAAAGTCTCGGAGTAGAACATCGAGCACACCGCCGCATTGTTGGCGTACGTCATCTCCGGGATTTTGTGCTCTGGATTGACGGACACCTGTAACGACGAAATCGTTTTGTTATAATAATATTATATTAAATCGTTTCCGATTCGATTGCACAGTGTCACGGACAGGAGACGACCACGTCACGTAATAATATAATATAATAATATGCGAGTGTGCGGCAGACAGTGAAAATTGGTGGGCGAAAACAAAAGAGTTTTCCGCCGAAGACGACGTATTGAATTGCACGGAACAGGTGCCGCGACGGTGGTGGACATTTTCGTTTACGGACGTTTGATGAAAACTTACTCGAGTATTGTATGTTATCATAGGTAATAATATCAAAGCGTATTTTATTGAAAATATTATGTAAACGATTTGTTATCCGAGTACAATATTGATAAGTCCGATGATATTAAAAAAACGTAACCGCAGTAAAGGATTTCAGGTGTATAATATAAATAGAAACTTGATTGAAATGAGGGGGAGGGGAATCAATAAACCACCATGATTAGATTATTATAACAATATATTATTATTTGACCCAATATTCAGTCCACAATATAATACTCATTACACGCTGCTGGTGGGTGACTGAACATTGTCGTAGGGGTCCCTTTAAACTCGACCTTGTGTCCCTGTCACGCCATTTCTAACTGACATTTATTTACTGCACAACATAAATCATAATATTATGAAATCCGCTTAAAAATCAAGCCACATCGAAGTAAATAACTTGCAGTGAGGGCCTCCTACGTATACTGGATACAAATACTTTTGTTTGGCATTTATGATGTTTTTAATTATATATTATGATGTACAGGGTGGATATTTAATCTTTAAACATCTCTGTTTTGGAAACATTTTAAAATGAAAAAAATTTATAAAAAATTTATTCAATTTTTTTCCGACTAGAAATCGTGGAAAATAAAAACTTTCGTCAAATATTGTCATTACTGCGTCTTTCGAGACGACGCCCAATGATTCGAGTTCACCAGCCGATTTCTCGACCGGCAGCAAACTATCGGAACCAGAGAGTTCGTAACCGGCAGCCTGGTAAGCGGTTGCCCGCGAGCTTACCTTGAGCGTGTACAGCCCCGGGTTCAGGTCGGTCACGTCGACCCACTGACAGTCGATGTTGTGCCGGTAAATGTCCGAACAGTTGACCGATATGCCCTGGTCACCGTAGTCGGCGCACGCGAATCCCGGCTTGGCTCCGTCCGTGCACTGATTGTCTTCCAGACAAAACGACGCCTTGTGCCCCTCGGCCACTTTCATGCCGCCGCCGTCCAGCACGTCGAACGTGGCGAACACTTCCATGCTGTGGTAGTGCCTGCACACAAAGATATTATTATCACGTCCGCCTTAAAGATATAAGTAGTGCAAAGGGCCCTCCCCCTACACACACACTGCAGCTGTGGCGATTACCGCTGGACGTGGTAAGCGCAAAATGAAGCCGATCACAATTTACAGCCACCGCTGCAGACCTTTAAATAGGTTCTTTTTCTAAATCGAATAATCGAATATTATGGTCGCCCGAATTCCAAATGAATATTCAAGTTACGACTTTTGACTTTCACAAAAGAAGTCTCCGATAAAATTATAAAATAAAAATAAAATTGTCATTTCGGCAAGTTGTCGTTATAATAACCGATTTCTACTGTGTATACCATTTATAATAATTATAAAATAATTAGGGGTGACATATCAAAACGTGCTATTTCTATTTTACACTTTTTTGAGGAATCACGATTTGTTCTATTTTTAATTACCAGTCTAAATAGTACGTTATGTATTTAACTCAATTATATATTCCCAATCTTCATGCTATGGGAAATAGTACATGCAATATGGCCTACTTTGGAAATAGTAAGTTTTGTACAATTTGAGAAATTGGTACGTTTTGCGTAAATTTGTCAAATGAACAAACTATTTAACATAGGAAATACTAAGTTATGACATAATTTTGGAAATAGTGCATTTAGACAAATGTTGGCTTTGGAAATAGTGCGTTTTGCGTCATTTATGAGTATCAGATTGATTTTAACATGGGGAATAGTACGTTTTGGTTCAATTTGATTCCTCGTCTATTTGTACATATGAATATGTTATACATGGGTATAACTCAATTTTGTCAATTTTGGAAAAAGTAGGTTTTGAAATGTCGCTCCTCATATGAACCCATACGAAATTAATAGAAGTCAAAAATTCATATATTCCATGTATGTACATGTATATAATATTGTATTCGCCAATAACAATTATTTCGCAAAATTCGTCAACAATAATATCGAGTATAATGCAACGACTTGGTAGGTTATATTTTGAAATTTCCACTACTCAATGTCCTAGGATTATTATATTGCGCACACCGTGCTGGTGGTCGGTTGTCGGACAGAGGAGGGCGGAAGAAATGTCTCGGGAAAAAAGTCTCGTCGGCGTGTTGGTCACGTAAAATTCTAGAAAAATTTTATTTCCCGCATCAGAAAAAAACATCTCTGGCCTGTAAATATCATCTTTCGCCGATTTATGCGGTGCAGCGGTTAGTGCTGTTACATTTCGATTCTGCCCGCAGTCGTGTCGAGAGAATTATGAAATAAATAAAATATCATAGAACACATCTCGTCATCGTAAAATCGGTGAGGTTGTAACTCGTCAATAACGAATGCTATTTTCTTGAACAAAAATTATGATGACGTTTTGTATTTGGTTTCATCTATTCTTATGGTAAATTTTACCTCCAACCATATTACTCTTCTCTATCTGTACACTATTTGTTATGAGGTGGTATCGACGTCGTGCATAGAACTATTTGTGTTTAATGCGTTTGATCTTTTAAATGGACATTATATACTATACGACACGCACTAATTTTCCGATAGCTGCACTCGGAAAACCCGAACCACTGCGGTAGCGACCGCATTTTTCCGATGGAAAACCGCAACGACAATAAACATGACAATTTATTAGTGCCGTCGTTATATCGTATTATTGTTATCGTAAATCCTGGACAATGTGGCGGACGTCGTCGTAAAATCTAATCAACCGTGCCGCCGCCGCCGACGGAAATCAATTTATCAATCTATGAACATGCACTATACGTGATGACAAACCAAACATGGCCGCACCATATATTTTTTCCTTTAACGAAAAAATATTCAAATTCTTTATTTCGGATATTTTAAGTAAGTATGATATGCTCAAGCCGCCATAAGTTCAGTCGCATAGATTTTTTTTGCGATATAAACGGTGTCCTGTGGAATTATAAACTTCTTTTTTCAAACGAGAACCAAAGGAAAATTTTTGTGTTTAGAACATTCAAAATGTAAATGTGTAGTTTCTGAGTTAACAAACTTTAATTGCCAAGGAAAACAGTCCCTTATAACAGGTGTTTAAGATAATGTGAGGGCTGTGATGAATTAAAAATTATAGTTATTATTATAAATGTATTAAAATGTTGTAATTTTTAAAACTTGTTCTATTATAATAAGTGCTGGCCTTACATTAGATATAATTTATATTGCATGTAAAACCATTAAAAGGACTATAATATTATTATCCTTAGTTAACATTGCATAGGTATAATGTTTTATAATTTTGATGCATTAACATTATCAAATACATCATCTGATTAACAATTTAAATGAAAAGGATGGTTTTCATTTGGAAAAATGAAGAGTTTGTCAGGATACTCTTTAAATGGTATAAAAAAATATAAATATTTTAAAATATTATGATCCTTGTAGGTATAATATTATGAAAACCAGAATTTGAATAAAAATTGTTTAAATAAATCATTCTGTATAATATAAAACGCGGTGCATAATAATATAATTTCTTATAGGCGAGTGGGTATATATTATAATATATATTATGGATAGTAAAGAAACGAACATACACACACAGTCACTCTCGATCCTCGAAACACTATCATTTATGACTAACTAATATTATTAACAATATTTTCATTAAACTGTAGGACTGATCCAGTGGTGTATAAAAGGGGGGCGTGGGGAGTGGATAATTTTCATATTGTGTTTGATGTGAATTTCGAATCAATTCAAATTATATTCATTGTTCCTTATTGTTAAATATTTTACTGCCTAAGTAAAAAGTTTTGATATGGTGGGAGGAGGGATTTTCCTATTTTCCCGTCCCATTTAGTTACGAGTTTTTCTTCCCCCCCCCTTCGGGAAATCATGTCTACGCCACTGTACTGATCTATGTTTAAGGTTTATTTTTGTTAATATTCTTATAATTATTACGATTATTAAATTATAGTAATCGCATTGAAAAAAAACATTTTAAATATTTATAGCCAACAAAACTTTTTACGCGGTCAGTTAATTAGTCAGTCCTTTCTTTTACTCGGTATTTATATTGTATTACAATACACTGGGACTGGAAGGGGACAGCAATCGAGTATGATTTATATTATAATGTGGGTATTATGCGGTATTGTTATTACGCGGACGTGACAGAAATCCGTTTGGTTTTTTTTTTTATCATTATTATTATTATTATTATGACTATCGGTATTTCCGTAAAACATGATAACGCGCAATAAGAGCTTTCTGTATATTATTATTATTATTATAATTATGATGACGATATTATTTTTTCGTTTTCCTGCGGCGAACCGCACAGTCTCTCGTCCGAAATTCTCATCGTCAATAATATTATAAAACTTTCCGTGTCACAATATACTTTCCTCCGTTTTAGGTCTCGATCGCACACACTTGGAATACGAAAATAGACAGAGAAAACAGATGGAGCTCTTCGGTCGGGTCTCGGATAATGTTTTGATCTCGGGACGAACGCATCGAAACGTGTAATATAGCTGTTATGAGCATATATACCTATTACTTTGGAGAAGTATAGAGTCGACGACGACTCCCGTCTTTGATCTCGACGCGACTCGTTTTGCCAAAACCGCCGCCGAAAATCAATAACGTTGAAGTTACCGTATCGACACGACGTGTCAAAACCGTCACGTGATTAGAAATTTGATAGAAATTGTCCGTTACCAGCGGATGTCCTCGGTTATGATGTGCTTATGAATGTTTTTTTTTTCAAATAAAACTTCATAGCCCCCGACGCACTTAAAGCGATAATGTTATAATCGTAAATGAGTAATTAATTATTACAACTGTGACCTACTCAGCTGCAGCTAAAACGCTGTGAATTCGCATTTGTTTGCCACCATCATATTCTAAAACATATTAAACTTTAATTTTCTCGCAAACAATAACTGTTAATGGAACATATTTATTTTTTTAATTTATCATTTTATTGCACAGTTGTAAAAACTACAACTTTTAATTTTTATGTTATACGATTAAAACAACCATAATGGTAATATTAAAATGTTTTTCAATTAAAACTTTTTTCATTTCAATATAATATAATAATGTGGAATAATATGGGGTGGAAATGGAATTATACATTTTACGAAATTTGCGGGTTTTTTTTTCAATTACAGACATCTATTAATTCTATTTAGAAGTTTTGTTAAACAACCCAATTATTATTCTCTGCTCAGACTAATACTTTTCTGATATAATAATATAATGCAATTAAGACGACACTTTTTGACTTCCATCATTTTAGATTCTCTCTATTACATTCATTAGTTTAATTTATATTTAATTGACATTTCAACTTCTGTAATAAGTTTAGTTTTTTTTTATATATCATTATTTTTACCTCCTTCGTATACAACCCTTAACATCGTACATTGATATTGTTTCATATTTTTCGAAATTTTACAATTCTTCAATTTATTGATGAAACGTAATTTTATCACTACGTTTTTTTATAAAGAAGTATCAAAAATATTTAAAGTATGTACTCCAAATAAATTATTTAAATTCGCGTACATTATATTTTTCTATAGTAATAATTGAACATCAAATGTATAATGTCAAATGTACTTCAATCAAATTTATGCATCATATCGAATTTTCGAAACATAATAATAATGTTTTTGTGTTTATATTAAAATAATTTTCCTAAGAGAATAATTATTTCAAAATGAAAAAAAATAAATGAGTAAATATTTAATGATACCAGAGAAAACAAAAGAAACATCAAGAAAGAAAGATAGAGTGAGAAAGAGAGATAAAGAGAGAGAAAATAAACGTTTGCAATGTAAATTATTTCGTATCGCAATCTTTGATCAACCGAAATTTAAAATCAAATGAAACAATCTCAAAGACAAAAATTAAAAAAGGTAAGAATATAAAAAGAAATTAAACCATGATTACAACTCGTTTATATTATACGTTCTTAATTTATGGAAATATTTAGTAAAAACATTAACATAAACTAAAAATGCACCTACCGAGTTTCAACCGATGTGATAGAAAAATGTGATCGATTCACAGTCGAAAATGTTCTCAACACCCTCCTTTAATACCTCAACGATATTCGCTATTTCAAAAACAATTTTGATACTCTCTTTTAATAATTATAGGCTATGGTGGCAACCAAAAACTAGGTCAAGCGTATATAGTTTATCGATAAGTCGGCGCTCAAAAGTATAATTATAATATCGCCGCGACCTTTTTTCCTTTTCGGTCTTAAATGTTATTGCCGTTCAGGAAAAAGTCTACACGAACTTCGTTTGAATCAATCGAAAGCTCGACAAACATTTGTAAGTCAGTGTTATAATGTACACCTATACGCCTCTTAAGATGAAAGCTGCTGTGCTGCAGCGATATTGCATTTGCACAACTGCAGCTTATACACAGCCCGTCTAGAATTTGATTGCGCTAGTGAAAATTTCGATTTCGTCATCGACTGGGATTTAAACACCACTTTGTGGCTTTATATGAAAAATATAGAAAAATATATTACGTCTACCTGACACTGAATAATTAACGAATTATTAAAAACGTTTAATATACAACACACAAAAATCATCAATGGCCATTTTTAAATTTGATATTCAGACATCGCCAAAAAAAAAAAAATTGTATCCAATGACATTTCTCCAGGCAACCATAATATACAACTGCCTATTTGTCTGGGTCGTAACGGATTGAAAGTAATATTTCCACTAGACTGACACTAAATAATCAACAAATTATTCAAAACGTTGATTACAATTCACAAAAATCATCAATGGCCATTTTAAAATTTGAAATTCAGACATCGTTAAAAAAATTTTTGTATCGAATGACATTTCTCCAGCCAACTATAATAATATACAACTGCCTATTGGTCTGAGTCGTAACGGATTTAAAGTAATATTTCCACTAGACTGACACTAAATAATCAACAAATTATTCAAAACGTTGATTACAACTCACAAAAATCATTAATGGCCATTTTAAAATTTGAAATTCAGACATCGTTAAAAAAATTCTTGTATCGAATGACATTTCTCCAGCCAACCATAATATACAACTGCCTATTGGTCTGGGTCGTAACGGATTGAACGTAATATTTCACCGGTCGGACTCGAGCTCGACCACCACCGGGCGATGGCCTAGTTTCGGAACGTCATTAATCACACACATTTTTTTTTTTTATTTTAACGAACATTTTCATCTCGCCTTAGAAAATATACTAAAACGAGCACCGGTCACTGATTTTAAATCAAAACTCGACGGTCGCGAAACAAGTAAGTAAATAAATCGTACAGAAAAAAATAAATTACATTTTTGGATTACTATCAAAAAAACGAGCACACGAAATGTCCGGAACAAAAACAACTGCAGATTTAAGTATCGATTTACGCTTTCTGCAGTCCGAATCGAATACACCGCCAAAATAATGAAATTACGAAATCGATATTATCTCTTAAGTGACAAAATTCGTCTGAATTTCGATTTCCGTTCGTCTCGAAATCAATTTGAGACAATTAATTTATATTGGAAAATGTGTAACTGGACAATTTTTGAACTCCGTACAAACCCTATGGTAGATGTTTGGTCATCGAGGGACACCTATATAATTACAGTACGTGCCGGGTCAAAATTTCAAAAATCAAAGATTCGAGAAATTCTAAAAAACCTAAACTCCGATAAACGAGTAATGTGACGTAGAAAACTGGACGTGCTCGAAACGTCTGTACGTCTAAACGGCGAAACTCGAGGGTGACTTAAAGTATACAGGGTGCGGCAGTCAAACCCTACGATTTGAAAAAAGCAAAAGAAATAGAAAAACAATTTTTATTAATTTTTCGCCGGGGACAATTAAAAATTGCACGAGTGGAATTTTATGTCATATATTTAAAAACTTCATTTTTTAAAGATTGTGTCAGGCAAATGCCTATTCCTTGGTTAGCCACTCATTACTACTACATAATATTATATCATTACTTTTTTAATACGCTTTTACCGCAAACGCACTCTGCAGTTCACTCGACACATGATAACTGAATTCCGGGTATTTAAAAGCGATAAGAACATTTCCGAAATCTCCATCACTTTAGCCACGCCCAGCAGTTAATTTTAAACCGTCGGGTTCGACTGCCACGCACATTGTATATTTGCATGTTTTAATAACCGTAGCAATATTGTATATTATTATTATTATTTCGCCGGCCATGTTTATTCATCATGGCTCGTGTCTGGCACGTACATGTGACACTGATGAAACTGCCACAGATGTTTGGGCACGGCGGGCCGGAAAGAGGCGGTGCCGACGTTCGTGATTTTAGCGGTGAACCGCAGCAGCCGTCGTGTGATCAGGTGCCAATCGGTCTCGTCTCGACGGAGCTGGTACGCAGACGACGCCAGACAGTTCTCCTCCATGGCGCACTGCAAGAAGTACATCTGCCTGTCCTCCAGGTAAGCAGATCTCATCAGTTCGTCGGCGTTCACCTCCAAGTCTGCCAACTCTGCGGCGTAACAACATGGTTTTATTACAATGGCGTTTATTTGATTTTTATCCCATATACAAAATGAAGGAGGGTTTTGATTTCAACATGTATAGTATGTTATCTTTTAGCAAATTGGATCGAGATGGCATTTTAGAGAGGTCATTTTTCGATTTACTCGCAATAATTATTGAATTCCAAGGGGAAAAACCACCGAAAAATTACAAAAAAACCACTAATAAAGCGACTTTAATATTATCTAACGCATATTTGTTTATCACAAACGAATAAAAAATAATGATATTGTATAGTTAAACTTACAGGCTATAATAAATAAAACCAATATAAAATATCCGGACTGACAAACAGTCTCCGCCGCTCATAGTCGTTTTTCTGATACAATGATATTATATCATTGACCCATTTGTAACCTACTGTACAGAAGAGCGACATGCATTTACCCGCTTTTTTTAAAAATGTATCGTCCAAAACATACATAGCTAATTTATAAATAAACATATTTGTTATTTTATCTCTTCCTAAGTACAACACATATACTATATAGTATACGTATATTATTATATATATTTTTTAACTTTTAAACGACGAAAGAGTGAAACTTAACGTATAAAAATCGTTCTTTCAATATTTTGTATTATATACTATAGGTATAGTAAAAAAACAAACTACAATAATTGGAACTCACACAATCACTAAGTGAAAATCGAAAAACGTTAAAGATCAGTGATATTGAGTTGATTAACGTGAAAATCAAAAAAAAAAAAAAATTAACTTAAATTAACTCATCGATAATATTTTTTTCAAACTGTTGTTACTACACTTCTTATTCCTTTCCTATGGCGAAACTTTAATTTACAGAGTAGAGTTTTTGGCCTCGGCAATTGAGAGTTAATTAATTGATTGATTCCCTAAACCAATATAATTCGATGTCACCGTATACCAGGTGCAGCCTATAGACAAGTAATCCCGAAATTCGGTATAAAAGCGTTTCCGGTAATTCCGACATAAAAGTTTTTAATTAAAAACGTTGGTTTCTCCACCAAATTCTTGTTACTGATGATCTTTTAAAACAACGATCCAGTAAAAAGCTTTTCAATATCATTAGCAACCTGCGCCGACCGTTCGAACACTTTCATTAATTTTATTGAGCACTTTTGCACACTTAAAACGAACAAAAGATACAGATACTCTTATAAATACCTTTAACACTTGAAAAACAGACTTAATATTGCAACATATATATACACGGCTTAATAAAACAAATAACTTACATGTAGCTTATAAGACGGCGTGTTCACAAATCACCAAAAAATGTAATCACTTAAGTATTATGTGTTTTTCGGGCAATATACTAGACAATAATAACAATAAGATAGAGGACGATAACACCCAAAATAGTTCACCGTTGAAAATTTTCGCACATAACAAATTGATGATACAAAATACTGAATTTATTCCCACTGAAATATAATCTAATTAATTTTGAATACCGAAATGTTCGCAACGTTTTAAATTAAAAAACAAATCAGATATAATATAATATTGCACCTATATTGTTTTAATAATAATAACAATGAATTCAGTGTGATGTACATCGTCACTATATATGATATAGCGATATAACTAGTAACTATATAATGTACCTAACGAGGAAAAAATCATTATTAAAAACGGGACAAAATAAGTCTGCGAGTGATACGAAAACCGACACGTTATTAAATATTATTTAGGGAGGAAAATTTTCAGGATATTTTTGCGATGACAAAAGTTTCGAACCGTCGCATTATGCGCATAATATACCTAGCCGAATATCTATGGGCAAGTCACCTAAATGTCTATATACGTGTGATAGGTACCTGCTCTTTTTCGGTCCGGGAGCGAAAAGAAAAAAACCGAGGTAAATGGAAAAAAAAAAAGGATACCCGTTCGAAGCAATCAACTTAACAAGTTCGGGAAGCCGCTGCGTGGTCGGGTGATTTTCACTGCGGACCATCAAACGTTTCGACTTTCTTTCCCATTTCCAAAGTTTGTCGACAAAAACGTCGCCACCGATGTCGGTGCCCTGCAAGACCTCGTCGTATACACGACACACACACACACATATATATATATACATTATTTTATCGACGGGAAAATAAAAACGCCGAGGAAACGTAATGCTGACCGATCGGCCTGTTTCGGGTGTTTTAAATTAACTGCCACCGGGGACGGTCAATAATTGATTTAAGAACCGAGACGGGACCCGTCCCCGATGTCACCATTCATATTTAATGCACCTTCCAGTGTAATGCAGTTATCGAATCGCCTCGCAGCCACTCCACCCGGGGAGAAGTTTGTCGTGGACATAGCCACCGTGTCGATAAATCATTTATAATATTACATATCGTAATATTGTATGTGAAATATATACGTTTCGTACGGGACGACAGCTGTTAATAAAAATATAATTGATACCCCGCGCATATTGCGATGGATAAAAAAAAACCACCGACCGACAACCACCGACTATATATATGATCGCGTTATCATCGCGAAAACCCGTAAAACGAAAGGTTTAAAATTGAATACATATAATGTCATATACAGGGTTTGTTCACCCGCAAGCGCTTTTGCCCACATTTTTCCTTTTAATAATGATTTTTTTTTAATTTTAAATTTTACTTTTAAGTATAATATAAAGGACCGAGGACCATAATGTTTTCAAATACCTGGAATTTTACACCAATTAAGGATGTGTAGGTATACCAACAATATTTCAGAAGGTATATTTTGTACTTTTGTGGAGTATTCAAACTCACTTTTTTCAACATCTATTTACTGAAAATTATGAAGCAGACGTTTATTATTTGAACACTTTGATGTGATGTAAATGAAGATCCGAACGAGTAGTTTTTGAGTTATTAAAATGTACACAATATACATGCACTAAGAACATAATATTATAGTGTTAGTAGGTAGTAACTAAAAATACTCCTTAAACTTTACATATACAACTTAAGTGATTTAAAATAAGGGCTTCACGTACAATAGGTGCTTGGAGACGTATAAAACCAGAATTTGAATAAATTATTTATCAAAAGAAAAAAAAAGGGGAAGACTAAGCTTAGTGAATCCCCCTGTACTATATACTATACGTAATTTACTAATAATATCGTTTCTAATATTTGGAGCCAAAAACTGAGATGTTGACGTATAGTGGCTTATCGCGTTTTGTGTTACAACGAAATATAAGTTATCCGACAAGAAAGTTTTCTCGATTGTTCTATGACTCGAATCTCTTATCGTCGTTTAACACCTCTGATGTAATATGATATATTTTGTACAGTAATTATTATTCGTGTTCTACACAATATTATTATGATTCGAATGTAAAGATATAAATTATTCGTAATGGAATTTCGGAAGGTTAATGAGTATTACGCAGTTGTACCTACGAGCGTATAATGTAATAGGAAAGTTTCCACGCGTTATCAAAATATACGTCTCGTAAAATATTAAGTTCTACTCGCTAATGACTCGGCGTACCTATGAACCAGCTGAATATATTATATACCATAATATCATTTTAATTATATACTCTATTGTTGGATTCTTGACAAACTGCCCGATATCATGTTATTATACCAGTGGAGAACAATTAACGGTCGGGAAACACTGACATGATAAAAAATGTAAGTCATTAAAAAAATTATCGAAACATATGGGCCTAAAAATAAAAAAAATTCCGGGCTCTTTTTTGAAATCCACCACAGCATAATATTATTGTTTTACAACCCATAATAATATATAATAGCCATCGATGGGTAAGTATTAGTCGGTACTACTTCGACGCAACATTATATACATATACATACGTATATACGACCTAGTAAAACCATCGAACTATTTCGGCGAAAAAAAATATTTCAAACATAAATTCGAACACAAATGACGCGCATATCCGGCCCTCGACCACGTACAATAAAATGCGTTTTACTATACAGTCGGTACGGATACTTTGTACGGTTTCGCGTTAAATGTTTTTCGTTCCAGTGAAATAAAGTACGTTTTTATCCGATCCAAAAGCCCGTGTAACCGTATAATATTGTAACGAAAAAAAAAAAACACCCCCTTGGGGGTCCGGCTGTCGGGAGCGAATTTTTTTTAAATCGACACAATATACGTCGACCCGCAAACATCGCGTTGGAAAATGACGTTCGATTCATAAAAATAAATTAAAATAACTCATCATCTCTGAGTTCCTGTGGTCGAACCACCACACTGCTGAAAATTTATATTTTATATGAAACTCACTGTAGTCTGCGCTTTCAGACGAGGAGCAATAAAAAAAGAGGAACAACACACACACACACACACACACACACACAATGTAGTCCGCAGTGTAAATAAATTATTTCTACCTATTCGTATGGTCACAAAACATTAATAAATATATATGTATTACAATACATTTATACATGTATTATAGGGGTTGTGAGTATTTGTACATGTCTGTATAATATATTTTTAGCACTGTTTCAACGACACTTAATGAAGAGTTGTTTACGAGATGTTCGGTTTTTTTTATATGTTTTTATAATTAAAAAAATATACGTACTGGTAGTTTTGTCATAAAATAAAATTTTAAATTTGATGAGTATCCGCGCGGGTGATGTGGAGTACGCAACGATTTTTTGTTTAAACTAAATTAAAACAAGGTCGGCCCCGAGTACCTAAAATTATTATTAAACCATTTCCACAGGTCAATTTCACGAATATAGGTCACCACAACACTGTTTTCACACACATTTTGCAACAACACAAATTCTCTATCTCTAAATGTTTATTATCGTTGCCCGAAAATTCAACTATTATATACGTCCACTTAGGTATATAGTAACCTATTTATATTTCACAGTGTGTTATATTTTTAATACATTTTATCTTCATACTAAACTTGAATCTCCATACTCAACCGTTATAACTATACTCTACGACTATATTATACGGGTACGATATGAACCGGAGTAATCGTTTTATTATTGTTTTTTTTTTTTTTGTTTTTTCACCTTAACATATTATATGCAATTTTAATGTGGAATCCACATTCCGCCGGCGATCTTCGGCCACGCAGAGAAATTTCGTTTATGATGGCGTTCATGCCACGAAGCATAATAATGAACAATATTGATATATATATATATTATATATATATTTACAGTAGTGTTTATTTTTTTATTTTTTTTTATCATGTATACAAAATTTCTACCACAAGGAGTGCTTCGATTTCAACATAAAGTATCTTATCTTTTAACAGATTGGATCAATATGGTACTTTAGAGAGGTCATTTTTCGATTTTCTCAATAGTTATTTAATACCAAGGGAAAAACCACCGACAAATTACAAAAAACCGATAAAAATAGGATTTCAATGTCTAACGCTTTGTCTATCACCATAGAAACGAATAAAAATATGAAATATTAGTTGTTTTGTTGTAATTTGTAATATTAATTCAACATAGGTACAGGCTATAATAAAATATAATAAAAATATAAAATATCCAGACTGACAAACCGTCTCCGCTCAGAATCGTTTTTCGTATACAATGATTGTATGATATCGTTGAATTCAAATTTAATACAATCCATTATACAGTGACCCACTTGTAACCTACTGTACATCAGAACTACATCCACTTACCATCTTCTTAAATGTTGATTTCTAATAAGTCATTAATAATACTATTAAATATTAAAAATATTACTAAAAAAAATATTATAAAATCGGGGAATTACTATCCAATATACCTATATTAAAGTAAAATTGAATTCGTTAAAAATACTTCATCCATCGGAAATTGCTCGTAGTACCTAATACCTAAATTATAAACCTTTAGGGTTGCATCACAATGGCATCCGAACAGCATCACAGTGTCGGAAAATATCGTTTCTATACTTTACTCTCGTCGAGCAAAATAATAATAATATATATGTGTAGTGATGGCAAAAGCTGATATGTACATTTTCTGAACTTAGTTATGCCGCTACACATATTTTAAAATAATGACATATCAGTTTTGGTCTTTGCGCATAAATGGCGCCACACACACAATAAAGACATTTATATTATCATATTTTGCCACCACTTGAAATATAAGATTTCTAAACTATTTAAATGATAATTCAAAAATTAACAAAATGTACATATCAGCTTCTGCCATCTTACCAGTTTCCACAGAATATAATGTTATAAACTCATTGTTACAATATAAAATCATCATAATCGACAATACTTGTGCTATACGTTTCCTCTGCCGGTAAAAGGTTTTTTTTTTTTTGGTACGAATTACGAAAATCACTCACCCCGTGTGCACACCACCACTGCCACCGTCTCCTTCCTGGTGGAGCACGTGGCCTTGTGCTGGTGATAACAGCCGGCAAGCGACGACTCGTTCCCGGCACATTCGACTGCCGACAGCACGACCGGAAGGTCCAACCCTCCGAACAGGTCCGTCTGGAAGGCGGCTGCAGCGTACCCGAGTCCGATGGAACGGCACACGACCAACGCTTCGAGCACTCCAAATCCGTCGCCGCAAATCACGCCCCAGCCTTGGCGACGGCCAATGTTACACATGAAAATTTAAAATACAGTTCGTTATTATAAGTATTAGGTCATCATATACGTAACTTAAAACGGTCGTTAATTAATAATAATATTGCAATGATATTATAATAATAATATAATATTCTATATATGATTTTCGTATGATGCGCGAGTGTCAACAACAACAGGGTGGCTATTCTTATCACTATAGTATGCTTTTATAATTTGTAATAATATTTTTGATTTTTTGATGTACAACCAAGAACGGGCTGAGCTTAGGATATCCCACAACCTAGACACAGCACTCGGACCCAATCATGAAAAAAATCTAGATATAATTATTTTATGAAACAAACGAAGTTGTTCAATCTTATAAAAAAAAAGTATGTAACCTAATTATATAAGTTATCTTTGTATTTAATCACATCAATTCATAACCTTTTTGTAACTAATGGCCTTTTTTGTAGATGTTAATATTTTTTAGAGAAGAATAAAAAAATAAAATGTTGTAATTATTAAGTAGCAGCAGCTACGGTAACTATATTATACTATTATATTCATTATGTTTTAATTTCCATACATATTTGTTTTCGTGGTATAGTTTTTCTTAACACAACTAAGTCATAATTTAAATTTCATAGTCTCAATATTATCGAGTTGCAGAATTTATCATTTTCCAAAAACATCAATATTCAAAATATAACATAGCTGAATATTAAGAAAACAGTTTTATATTATAAATAATTTTAAGCTAATATAATTGGAGTAAATTTCAAAGGTATTTACATTTATCATTGTACTATAGGTACATACCCTAATCAAAACTTTGAATGTTTATAAAAATAAAAATAAACTCTTGGTTCAATACTTAATATTTTACATGGATAGCTTAGTAAAAAATATATTCTGTATCAGTTTATGATGTAATGCCGATTTATTGAGGATGGTTATTATTAAATAAAAATTGAATTTATTTTTGAAAACTAAGTATAATAACTTATACCTCTACGTAATATTTGTGATTTATGCAGAAATGATATTGAAAAAAAAAAATCGAAAAAAAATCGCCGTAGGGCGTGAGTGTTAGCTGTAAAAAGCATCACTCTGAATATATAAGCTATGAGTAAAAAGAACACGCGCACCTATATAATAATAATATAGTAATAATAATAATTTACTTTATTGTAAAGGTCTAATATTTTAATAATATATATAAAACGGCGGACTTTGTTTAATATAGAACTAGTGGTTTATTTATTATTTTTTTTTTTTTTTGAAAATCGATAAGAACAAAAACGACCATCTCGCATGGCCGTGCCCTCCCAAATACTCGAAAAACATTTTAGAATTTACTACTATAATATATACACACACACACACCACCGTTCCGTTCTCATTGTTTTCCCACAGTCTCCTTTTCCCATAGTCTCCTTTTCCCACCACCACCCCCAAAACCATCAACGCAACGCGCGCGAGAAAAACTCGATTCCCACCCGCGCCCCCTTCTGCCGCAGTATTTCGTTTTCTTTTTTCGTTCTCTCTTAAAGATAACTCTGCCGCCGCTGTCGCGTTTTCCTCCTTCGAAATGAAACTTTCCGCGTTCGTTATAACACTATAATATCACAATATTATATTTTGTTGTTTATATATAATATTTTATTATATAATATTATTTTTTTTTTCGCCGACGAGATCAAACGTCATCGATAGCGAAAGATATAATATACGTATATATATATATAAAGTTCGCATTATACCGGAGCAGCCGACGAATATTTCTTTTGTTTGTCTCGGCTTATAATGTTTACCCGATGTGCTTTTTCGATAGTTTTCTCCCCGAACAAATTGAACGAAAACTTCTGGGATGTATTAGGTATATGCTAGGTAGGTATATAATATCGTAGTCGTGACTCGACGTGGAGTGCCCCTGCTCGGGATGACGCCGCGTGTTCCAAAGTATAAATAAAACTCAATCAAGAGACTCCACCCCCCCCCCCCCCATTGTGCGTGCTACATGTATCTGTAAAAATATCGTCGAAGAGTCACGAAAAAGTTTGCGATATATATAGTTACGCGTATTGGATATCCGCCGCCGCCGACCTGACACGTATCCGATAAATATTGTTATGCGATTTGTATATATTTTCCGAGTTTCCACGTACGTTGCGTTAGCGCTGCTTCTAAATAATTCAAGTCGAATTCAGATTTTTATTCGGCACACGGATATCGGTATATATTACAATATTATACCTATATACCACGGTCGTATCGTTAAGGTGGCGGCTAGTCTAGAATTCTGTGGATATTTGAGAGAAAAAAAATCACATAGGTTACAAGCTTTAAAATAATAACGATAATAATACCCTCGATCACATAGGTATAGGCGTTCGCATATACTTCGAATGCGATTCGACTAGGATGAGAGAAAAAATGTTAAGAACCGGAGTGAATTTATACTGTTTGTTCGATCCGCAATCGCGGATATGCGAGATCGGGGGAACACGGACAATTTTTTTTCCATACAAAAATGTAACGATAGCTATGGTGACTGATGTACACGTTATAATTATTTGTAACCGAGATAAACGCCTACCGAATAAAATATTATTTCGCAAAAATTTTATCGATCGATTTCGGTCTAAATCGGACTTTCGGTACCTAACGGCACACGACGTCAAATACATTCACCACAGATGACTGTAAATAAAAATTTAACGTCCCAGCTGTGTTGTTTCGGAAATCGGTTTTTTCTCCGATAGTTTTTCACGTTGACATATTTTTATGGCTCTAAAAGAGGTCGGTCAGTCAGTTACAATAAAAATGGTGTTGTATGAGTTATTGTCGAAAAAACGAAATTCTATATTTTCACTATTTTTTTTTCATTTATTTCAAAAGCCTAATGGGAATTTGAAGTTATATTGTAAAAATATAGATTTCCAGATTTCGGGAAGTTAACGACGTGTACTCTCTGACGAATTCGAGTATTTTATATTAGAGCTAGGGAAATTGACGGGCCGTTTAATTTTTAATGGTTGACATTATACTTATTTCAGACACTTTTTTCTCGCCAAAAGCTCACCATGACACACAATTAATATGTTTCAACCTAATCGCCGTTAACTCGTAAATATTCGTTAATGGTTTACCATCAATATTAGCATAAAAAAAAAAATAATAAACTAAAAAATTAAATTCGACCGACCGACCGCACATGCGCTCAAAACGAAATTTAGTTTATATATTTTAGCGTTCCCTCATGAATTAAGTGAGTAATTTTCAAAAATCAAACTCGTCCAACAGCGGTACCACGAGGTTTCACAACAAAATATAATTTTAGGTGTACGTACCTATAATAATAGTGTGCCGCGGCGTCCATTTTGGAAAAAAAAAATGTATAATACAACTTTTGAAAATCAAATGTTCAACATGGTGAGAGGTACTCTCGCGGTATCAAAGTTTAAATCATTAATGTCCAGTGACGGTGTGAAACTTTTTATATTTTTTATAATATAATGTCAAGCGTACGACGCATTCATCATTTTTGGTTAAAAAGTATCGTAGTATAATACATTATTATTATTATCATTATTATTGTATTAAAAATCTCTGTGTCGGGTAAAAGGATAACAACTACGTTAACTCGACGCTATGAAAAGATCATCGCGTTAGGCAAAACCTGTCCAAGTATGTATATAGTTTATGCAAATTCGTATTATTACATTGTGTTTGGCCGTACAGAGTGGCAATTTCGATTTATATCGACGGCCGAATGAATAATTATTAATCCGACCGATTAATATAATAATAATATATTATTATTGATTTTAGCGATATTAATAAAATGATATTACCAGCTAGGTTTATAACGTACATCATATTTCAAAATAATCGTTTTTCACGTGAAATTAAACGGTACCAAAAATGAATATTTCCAATAACGGTTTGTTATTAAACTGATTTTATTCGACGTCATCATAATTTGATTTATAGAATATTGAAAGATTTTATTACCTATACCTAACGTAGCTATACTTTTTTTTTTAAATTCGTTTCGTGTCTAAAAATCGACTTCAGTCTGTCTATATAGAGATGAGCCTTCGACACAACTCGACGTGTAAAATATAATTATATCAGTTTTATGAGAATTTCTTTTTAAAACTTTTATCTGAATATATTATCTAGACGTTATAGCTTGTCGAAATGTTAAACACGATAATATCATAACAGCAGCAGGTGGTGCATTACAAATATTATAATAGACAATAATTGTGTCACAATTTTCAGTTTGATTTTTAGAGTATTTGGTAAAAAAATTATTGTTTCGCCGAGCGCCGTTCCTCTCAATCTCGAACGTGCAGACGAACACTTTCGCGGGATTTGAACTTTGCTTAACGCTTAAGATATTTGTTATGGTAATGATCGTTTAGTCGAAATTCGGCAGATTTATAAGCTACCATGTAATAGTCGATATATTGTAAATTAGTACAACGAAGAAAGTGCTGTAGCATAGGAGGGTGACAGTATATATTGCCTTAATAAATAGTTATACGCTGTAACGTTGCTATATTCATTAAGTTAACGCTTGAAGTTCGACAAGAACACTTAGTCAGCGTTCCGAGAGGGAACAAATTGCATTTGTTGATAATAATTATTAGGCTTACAGCCAAACGAAACGGGTTTAATAGACGTTCGATTTTAATTAAGTAATATTATCTGCATCAGCGCTGTAGTTGTATAATATACAGAGACTATCTACACTTTTTAATAGTTATTGTTACGACATTCGAAAAAGGGACCCACCTGTAATTTCGAATAATAATAATATCATTCGAAAACTACTCTCAACCTTATATTAATTTTCCATTTTATTTTCCCCATCACCGGGTGGGTGAATTATTATATTTTATTTATTTATTTTTATTACAATATTTATTTTCACATTTCATAATGTTATATGCGAACAACTCGTATAGTGTGAACATAAAATTAAACGGATTCGACTTCGATTGAATAGAAAACGTGATTTCAACATTTTCTTACCTCCCACGAGTACCTACATTGCGTTGACACATATTATTGGTAAAACAATATAAGTTGTCAACGAGATACTATCTTACACCGAAACTCGCGAAATAATTCACATTCTGAGAATCGAAATAGTTGCCAAAGATAACTTTACGTCATCGCTTTAAAATGAATGGTATTTTTAATTGCATTGAATATTTGATGAATTTGACGAAAAACTCAACGTACATGTCTTAAAAATATATTAAATAACTTTTTTCACGTCGTAAAAAATACATTTGAAAATAAACTTTCTTCCTATACTTACTTTATATTTTATGATTTCTTTATTAAAGACAAACCGAAATAGTCTGTACGTTAACCACACTGATATGTACCTATATATATGCGCGGGACGAGCTAATAAAAAACGATCCGCGCTCGAAACAAATATAAACTAATAATCAATTCGAGTCAACTGCACAAACGTAAAGTAATTTTATTTTAGAGAAAAAATTGTCAACGAACTCTTAAATAATTGAAAAATATTTTTTAAACTAATATGGGTAAATACGTGTCATTGTTTATACTGCACAGAGTGTACAATATAAAGGTATTAGCTTTCGTCCGTGGACAACGTTCGAATGTCAAAGATATTTAAAAACTACCCTTTTGTGAATTAAGTCAAACAACGAACAATACTAACGAACTGTAAATATTTACCGAGGACATATTTTCGAATGTATAATTGTATAACAAGCGTCAAAACAACGTGCATATAATATATATATAATATTATATTATAAGATATAACCATTGAAGTATTTTCCTCGATAAACTAAAATATAGACGCCTCGCTATAGTTTCTAAAAATTAACTCGACAACACCATCGATAAAATATCAGCCAATGATATTTTCACATCTGCCAAAAATAAAATCCTCTTGTCACGGCAAAACCACTGGGACTCCATTTCACCTACCAATAAACTCAAGTCCATCAAGAGTTCAGTGAAACAGTGGTATACACCTAAGGATCTCAGCCGACATCAAGATATTCCGATCACACGTATAAGAATCGGCCACACTTTTGCTACACACTCTTTCCTAATCAGCAGAGATCATCCATCTACATGCAATTTATGTCAAAATCGCATTACTTTAAAACACATGCTCGAAGAACGCCCCATCTTTGAACCAACAAGCACGTCCACTCAACTAACCTATCAAAGAAATCCTCGATGAAGGACGAACTCCAAATATCATCAAATTCGTCACTAAATGCAACCTCATCAACAAACTCTAATCTAGACAAACTATATTGTAAACGCACTAAAAATTTAATTGTAAATATGTAATTTTAATTATTTATTGTATATTATTACCAAATCTGTACTAAAAAAAAAAAAAATGCAGGCTTAGCAGTTGAAGCCTGTAAACTTTAATAAAAAAAAACTTCGAAATTTTGACGAATCGTATAATTTATAATTATAATGTAGCTCGTCTTACCGTCATTGGTCTTGGCTTCCACTCTGCCTTCGTCCGATGTCCTGCCTCCGACAAGTCGCAATTCGATGTCCGATCCCGAAGTATCCTGCGGTGCACGAAAAACAAAATAAAATAGTCGAAACGTCTCACGAGTGTCCAATCGACAATGTTTATAATAATATACCTGTACGGAATATCTTTCCATATAATGTTTTTATTTATTATATAATAATTTTCAAGTTTATCAATAATTCAAAATCGTACACATCTACCACGACGTTCCGGTCGAAAGTCGAAATCATTATACTTATTAGAGTTATTACATTAAAACAATCGATAAATCATTGAGAGGACGTTATAATCTCATAATATTTTGTGCTATCCTCCTTTCTAACTCATAGTATACCTATTATACCTAAAGTTAGTGTTGCTAAGTCCAGCACCTACAGTTTTGTATTGTGGTATTAGAGTGAATTAACCAAAAATCTAACTTAAAATGTGTAAGAACGTTATCTGTGTTCTGTCGTTGGTATCTCGTCGATATTTGCAATTAAATTATGAGCATTTTATATATTATATTAATATTTCACATACTCATAACACACTTAAAAGGTTAAATATCGTGTAAAACCAACGAGATGCCTCAGATCATGTTCTAATAATAGTTGGATAATATAGGTCAATTTACTCTAATATTGAAGCTAACGACACACAATTTGTTCTTATAATTTGATACGATTACTCAGGTATTGTGCTTTTTATTATTAAGGTATAAAAGTGAATAGAAATGTATATAATATTGACATTACTTTGATCCTGTACTTTTGGACGACTTTTTTTGTCGGGACCGACACCGCAGGAACAGAGTATATTTTGGGCTTTTCCGGTTCAGGAGATTCGCACACCACGCCCGCCGCTTCGGAAGGGTCGCAGTCGTTCTCACCCCAACTGTCGAACCTGCACTCGGAAATTTCCAGCTCTTGGCCGCCGCACTGTGTGTTGTCCATCCAGTACTTTCCTGCACGAAAAAGTCATTATAATATCAAAAAATGTTTGTCCTCGTCAGCGGAAGACTTGAATGAGACAGTATCTATATAGTATAATCCATTTGGATTATTATTATTATTATTATATTTATTATCATTGCCTCAAATAGAGGGAGGGGGACTTAGTCACCTCAGATGTCGGTCAAGTCCCACCAGTTCAAAATCTAGTAATTAGTACTCATTTTTATATTCTGTGGTACTAAGCAATATGGCCCATGGGGAGGGGGGTTTGAGTCCCCCCCAAAAAATTTAATCGATTTGAGCCTATGTTTATTATATTTTATAATCATTACTGGCCGTTTGTCCGAAGTGCGAACCGTGAGTGACCCTAGACGTGCCGTTGTAGCCCAATTGTCTGCACACCACTTGGCCTTCTCTTGAGTCCCATTCGTCATCGCAGATGGCGCCCCATTTCCCCAGGTGCATGATCTCCACGTTGCCTGTAACATTAAAAAGAAAAACTGAGAAATCGATGATGAAGATCTCAGAGAATAATCGTGTCATGGGCCCACGAACATGGTCACGTGAGTTACAACACATGTGTATAAAATAGTGAGTTCAAAAAGTACTATTTATTTATAATTATAAATTGTCGTTGCAGAATAACATGCTTTTCACCTAATAATTTATCATAATTTCACGATAGACGAATTTATGGGAAAAAAAAATTTCATCTCGTTATTGTATGGAAAAAAAGCTGCTTATTAACCATACGCGTTTCGCTGTGGAATAATACTTATGAGTGATTGAATAAAAACTTCGTTTTATATATTTATTTTATTGCGCATCTTAATAATATCTGATTTCGTGTATCATCAATAATTTGTTTTTACCAAAAATTCGGCAATTCCGCTGCCGAAGAAATACATAAAAAAATTACACAAAATCTTGCTGTATAGTTGCGTTCTTCTCAAAAATTAAAAAAAATTCACCACTCACCAATAACTGATCACTGATGACATGTCTCGTTATTTTTATCGCCGAAATTTTTGCTTGCGCCTTGTGTTTTTTCATCACGTTATATCGACTAAAGACTGCACTTAATAAGATTTCAAGTCACACACGAAATTGAAACTATACATGACGAGAAACCCGTTCGTATAAATTCTTAAATATTGAAAATCGAGAAGAAGTCCAGTGCTGCAGGTACTAATGACAACTTAACGCTGGTCAAAAATTCGAGCTAATATAGTATAGACGAAATTGTCTGTACATGTTGAAATGTGAATGCCAAGACATTCGTTCTAGTTATCGAAAATTCCACTTGAAGACATTTTAGTCATATCGAGGTTCCACTGCAGTAATACATGTATTATACTATTGAACATATAATGCCATAGTGTTCGACGATACATTAATATGATATTATACAACCGAATTTTCTCGACGTCATGTTAGTTGTTTTTTTATAATATTCTCATATCGTTATTATATACCTAAGTAGGACCCTCAAATATAATGTACGACGCGACGGTCACTCGGGTTTTCGGTTGCTGCAGATACGCGTATAATAGGCAATAACGTAATAGAATATCGCATAACACAATCGAATTATAATAATATTATTAAACCGGCGTGAAAATTGGTCGTTAGTTGTGTAGTTGTTGTAATCGTGTGTAGGTAGGCATATTATATCGTTAAATCTGTAGCGTGCGAGTCGCATTATAATATGAATATAAAACATAATAATAATATCATAATAATAATATACGTACAACAATATAACACCATATGGGTATTGTGTGTGCAGTGTGATACGCCGCGCCTGCTTTTCCGTATTTTACGACCTCTTTACACACACACATTGTGTAACCGGCCGCGGTATAAGGTTCACCTCGCGATTACTATTATTACTATTATACTTCACTTTATGTATTATTATTATTATTATTGTAATATTATAAAAATCGAATCGCTGGCGCGAGCGACGGATTTTACGACCGCCCCGGACCGCGTAATCGTATTTCGATTGCACCGGCGTTGTGATTGTATTATATTATGCTCTTAACGTATTATGCTCTATTATTATAGGTAAGCGATAAACAATGTTAATATCGTAAAAAAAATAATATAACATAATATACCTATAGCAATAATAATTGTCCTCGGCGCCGCGTCGTCTAGCTCTGAGCGCGTTATTGTTCCGAACGTGCACAATCCGTTTTATTTCTTCCGGGCCAATGGCGGCACGGGTTTTGCACCGACAGTGGTATTAGTGGTATATGTTTTATGTTTACACCGCGTGTACCGTTTACACGCCGGTAACAAACGGTGATTTTATTTATATTACATCAATAATGTTATTGCATTGCACGAGACCACATCTGCGTTTGTAAATTATAATAATATGTATTCAAATTCCGATTTATCAAACATCTAGTTCCTTCTGTAATACCTATGTCTGCATATTGAAAACGTTTTGTTTTTCTATCATCTGGCCCGCCTCTGAAAACATTGCGTATAGATATTACACGAGTTACGTTAATGGGCTTTTGCGTCTCGAAAAATAGTAAAAATCCTGCTGAATATTATACTCAAAATAATTCATAGACAGCAAATGTTTCACAAAAATATTATCATAACATTATACTAATATTATTCGTGATAATATATCATTTCAAAATGCTGTCTAATAAGACAAATTTTAGACCAATTTATGAAAAATAAAACTATTAATCGTTAAGAAAACTCACAGAATTTCCCTTAAATAAAGAGCTTACCCCAAGTTAGAGGGTGTTACGGCGGAAACGCCATGCCTAATCTAATATTGCTATCGATAAACCAAATGTCATTAGAAATTATATTGCGATTATACCTACTATGTGTGTAAGTTAGTCGTTGTTGTCGAGTTGTCGGCTACGCACTCGCAGAAATAATATAAAATATACAGTCCATTTAATATAATAAAAAATTGTTGTACATTCATTTATCAGGCAACAGAGGGTATCTACACTGGTGGGCCCCCCTCTTCACGCCATTCATGTTTTGTACCATCAAGTTTTTTTTTTTCTATCAAATTTACTTATTGTTGTATATAAATATTACAGACTGTAATACTCTATTTTTATCTAATAAAACAAAAAAATAAAGAGCTATTATCTGCTAGGCATTTAAGATATTGTACATTTGTACCTATAAAATATATTTTTCATTTATACGATTTGTGTTTACCGCTCATCTAAATACAGGATGATCCGCCGACTACGGTCACCCCTTTTTTTATTCAATAATTGATTTCAATGATTTTTGGAATTTTTAAAAATACTTAAAGGCCATACTTTATGACTTTCAAATTCTTGAGATTTTTTTTGTTCTACCTAAGGAATGTTTGATGTAAGCAATATTCGAACTTCTGTTTTTCAAATGAGAACACCTTTACAAATAATAGGGTTCAAGTATAATAAATGATAGATCCAATACCTATATTACATCTATTTTAAAATTTTTTAAAACCATTTTTGTGTACGATTATTCTTAGTAAAATCATTTTGAAAACTTAGAAACTATTCATTCGAATTTTGAATTAAACATATTAATATTAAAAAGAAAAAAAACTATCGACTAAAAAATTTTCTGTAAAAAAGGAGGAATCTCGTAAGAAAAGCAGAAATTTGTATAGCCTCAGGACCTCTCTAAGTACGTAATATACAAGCGTCTCAAGAATTTGAAAATATGGTCTGATAAATACTTATACCTGAAAATTCCGAAAATCGGAATTTGATGAATTAATTATAACGGAAAAATGCAAGCGTGCATGCTTGGAGAATCACTTATCACAGTGTATACATATTAAATTCTATATTTTCAAAACGGTTACATATCTTTGCCGAACTGAGTACCTAAATAATTCAGAATAATTTTACTTACATTCTATACTACCTACCTAATATATTGATGAAAATAGTTTAGTGGCTATATATCACATAAGTAATCGCTAAAAGTTTAGTGGTGCGAAGTGGTGAGGTGGAGAAATATTTTATCATCCTATCATCCCATAAAAGCGTATAATATACGAATATTTACCGCTCCTTTAACTGTAAGGCATAAGAGCTTATAGATGATAAACTATTTATTAAATATTGAACATAAATGCATTCAAATTTATTCTGCATAATACATACATAATATCGTAATACAAACCATCAGGATTATAATTTATTTGAAAATCTAAAACTCAAGTTCATTATAGGCCAACAGCTGAGTAAGAGAAAGTCCCAATAATTTTAAATATACCTACATATAGATAGATAATCATTTATAATATGTTGTGCAGTCTTTATAGAAGTCGTATGTTATACATAACATTAAAAGTGTTAAGACCAATACATATTTCAAAAAGTAGGCTTTAAAAGTAAGCTGAATTATATTGTCAGTCACGAAACAAAACATATTTGGTTGTCCATAATAGGGATATATTATATTGTTATATTATTATCTCATCATAATGGAAACAATTATAGATTAAAGTTAACTAGGTTGTCAACGTCTTTTCCACAACAAACACAACTATACAGTAAATAAGTGAAAAGTATTCATTATAATCATTGTCACTCTTACTATGGATACCAATTAAATATATTAAAAATATGTTAAGACATTTTTATATCTCGAATAATTTGAGCATTTGTTTCGTTAATTTTATACCTATACAATATTTCATATGGGAAGTTCAACACGAAAACTGCTGTAATTGTTATCACGACTAACAATATTAATGATTTCATTATACTCAGACATATATATTAAATAAATAACAATCACTAACACACGGCGACTTAAGTCCTCGACTATAATAATAATAATAATATGTTAATTTCAGATTCGTGTGTAATACGTCGTACAACAATAATAATGTCGTACTAATGTGTAGCTATTGTCTCATCAATACTCCATAATGCTGTATAATTTGCCCCGTCGCGTTTTCGATTGGACCAATTAATTAATTACTCGCTGGCAACCCAACGCGACTCGACAATCGAATCGTAACCGTTCTAATATTATTGTTGCTATAAATCTTTTCGAGTAATTGGACGTGCAGCTGCAGTGGTCCTGACGTTACGATTAAAACGCCATCTATATGATACTATAATATAAGTTCGACAAAACACCCACACGATCGAATTTCCGTGTACCAAATTAATAATATTATTACGATGGTACAGCGAGGGATGTACACAGACCAGCATATTAATTTTTGGATTCGAGGGCGCCAAAATTTGGACGATTTTCTGGTGCACCTTATTCTGCAATATTTTTAATATTTTTACATCTAAAATTTTAACCCTTAAATGCATGGTTTTTATAAAGTAAAAAAAAAGAAAGGGTTTTCAATACAATAATCCTCACAAGATTGTCTACCTTTACCAAAAAACATTAATTGCCGAAAAGTCATATTAAACTGTTATGAGCGTGTAAATATATTCACTTGATTTTTCATTTA